TGGTGGTCAGAGGGCCCGGTAGCGCTAGTGTACGGCAGCCCCGCTTCTGTCAGTGAGCCCCAGGGCAGCTGTGGCTACAATGTAGCTTGCCACCATCAGTGTGTGAGTGAATGGGTGAATGAATGTAGTGTAAAGCGCTTTGGACATGCCATTTACCATTTTTCCAATCACATTTTTTTTTAATCCCTAATTATTTTCCATTCTAAATGGAAAAAAAAAGTTTCCGCTGCGTTCCTTCACCCTACATCGCCTCCACATCTAGTCCCTGACTGATTCCTGCAACATGAGAGAAAAGTTCACGTTATCAAACTGCTTTGCTTTGCGTCCATCGCAGATGACGTGTCGCAGGAATCGTCCAAATTGTCCCTGTGGCGTTGCTACAAACGCATCGCTCCTGTACAGGGAGGAATAACATGAAAGAGCATTCGTTGTGAACGTACCTCAACACCTTCATCTACAGGATGATCTTTTACCAATCCTACTCTAAAACAGAACGATGGACTAAAGCCTCTCCGTCTTGAGGTCTGAACTTTGACTAGGCCGTTTTAACCTTAGTTCAGCTTCTAACTAAATCTATAGAATCCATGGCTGCATATCCTGGTTTAAGTCCATTCGTCATTCCTTTCCCACAGCATGATGCAACATCCTCCGTGTATCATTAGGGCTGGTGTGTTCAGAGTGATGTGCAGTGAATGTTTTGCATGTAAATCATGTTTTTCCCTTTTCTTTCTCTTCAAACAGCTAAAGGTCTTCCTTCAGCTCCTCCATTATAGGCCAGATCACCTCTGAAGCCTCTGGCTACATTGCATCATATTGAGAAGTATTAGAGTAAGCGGATCAAACCTTTCTGATCTTTTTTCCTCTTGCTAGAGATGCTCTACTTGGTGTTGGTCTGTTGGCAAACATTCAGCTGCTCTGACGGATTGAGGCTGTGTTTGTGTTTAGAACCTTAAGCCTGTCTCTAAGATCAGCTCATACATTAAACCAGCCGGCAGCAGACCGGCCGTTGACCCCGGACCTGTCTGATCCAGCAGGTAGGTCCGTCCTGCAGAACTCCGTAAGTGGATTTAGGATTCCTCTCTGGGTTTTAGACACCATGTGACTTCTTCCCAGACGACACAGATTCAAACGGGTGATGCAGGGACATACACACCTGAACTCACCACGGCAGAGCTTGTCCAGAGCCTCTGGGAAGGCGCGGGTGTAGCGCACAGGGAGGCAGAGATGACCTTCTGACCTTTTAGAGAAACCAAACTGCAGTGAGTGAAATGAAGCAGCGGTTCTGAATGGATTCAGACGGGTTTTTACCTCTCTGGGTCCGTGTTCACTCCGACCACCGGTTTGTCCTTGTTTAGAACCTTACTGGCCACCAGCAGCATCGTCCCGTCCCCTAAAACAAACTGCAGTTATTCAGTGCGTTCATCCTGCTGCAGAACTCATCACTGGACGGAAATAAGCGATTGTTAATCCTCTTTCTCACATATAAAGCCTTAAATGGCCAAGCTCCATCTTAC